CCTAATATTGAATCAGTTATTTCTCAAAAATAAGCAGAATCTCATCCTTTACATTTTTGTCATGTTTTTGTCATTATTTAAAATCAAAATGAACAGAAAAAGCAGAAATGTAGACTCGGACCTGATGATACAAAATAAAGTAAAACAAAAGTTTATATTATTTAGTAACTAACTATCAAATAAATTTGTTAATTCACTAAAGGTAGTTTAGTGTCTCAATATGCATATTGATAGGCTGGCATTTTTCTAATACAAGGCATGCAGTACAACATACACTCTAATTACTACTCCACTAAAACATTCAATAATATTAGTGTAACTATTAGTGTAACTATTTACACCTTGGCAGGATTCAAATTCATGGTAACACTATGGTAAGACTATACACCTACATAGGCTTTTCATGACAGCTGACATAAACCTACATAAGCATTTGTAAAGACTTCTTCCAACAAGCATCATAACACTTTCTGAGATGAGGATATGACATGAACATCTAAAGAGCCTTTATGACAACCAACATTTATTAAAATAAGCCTTTTAATAGTTTATGTAGGTTTATGTCTGTTGCCATGAAAAGCGTATGTAGGTTTCGTGTAACTTTAAGAATGAAATTTTGTAGCAGTTAGACTAAAGAATGTAAAAAAAAAAAACATACTTTTGTACTTTTTGCACCATGACATGATACCTCAACATAATACAGCACAGGAGTGTCTTTGATGCAAAGCACCGCTCTTCAGTACCTCTGAAGCATTATAAGCTGCTTGATAGCTAATAGCTCCCCCTTGTGGAGAATCTTCAGCCTGCTAAACATGAGTGAGTGAGTCAGTCAGTAAACAAGTCAGCTACTTAGTTAGTGAGCCAGTCAGTAAGCAGAGCAACTAGTTAGTTAGTAAGTCAGTCAGTTACTGAGTCTGTCAGTCAATCAGTAAGTGAGTCAGTTATTCAGTCAGTGAGTCAGTTAGTTAGTTAGTAAATGAGTCAGTCAGTCAGTCAATCAGTTAGTTAGTCAGTAAGTAAGTCAGTTACTTAGCCAGTCAGTGAGATAGGTAGTTAGGCAATCAGTCAGTCAGTGAGTCAGTTAGTCAGTGAGTCAGTTACTTAGTTATTTAGTTTAATCAGCCGGCCAGTTAGTTAGTCAGTTAGGGAGTCAGTCAGTCAATAGTTAGTTTGTTAGTCAGTCAGTTATTCAGTCAGTAAGTGAGCCAGTGAGTCATTCAGTTAATTAATGATTTTGGTTAGTTAGTTGGGTGGTCAATTAGTGAGTCATTTAGTTAGTAAGTCAGTCAGGCAGTCAGCCTGTCGGTCAGTGAGTAAGTCAGTCAGTCAGTTGGTTAGTTAGTCATTCGGTCAGTCAGTCATTCGTCAGTTAGACAGTTAGTCATTTGGTTAGTTAGTAAGTCAGTTAGTCATTTGGTCAGTTAGTCAGGTAGTTAGTTACAGGCTGGGTCCATGAGGTGCCTCTGAAAATCATATCATGGTGCAAACTGCACAATACAAAACGTCTCCTGAAAAATGAGTATCATTACACCCCTGTAGTACAGCAAAAATGCCACTAAAGGTTCTTAACAGTCTCATCATCAAACTCAGTGCTGGTCTGAGCTGGGGAGGTGAGATGTGTAGATTGACACAGTGTCTGGAGGGTTCTTCTGTGCAGTTCATCGACCGCTCATTACCGAGTGTGTTATAATCATGCCCTTTGGAACAGGGACTGTGTTTCACCTCAGATCTATCAGTCTAATTAAAACAAGATTAAAAATTACATCCTGTGATTCTGCCGCTTTGACATGGACGCACACTGGAACAGACAGTACCCTGATTCTGTTTCAGTAGATGGTCTTACATTCACGCAGCAGCACAACTACATTCTTAGTATTAGAAACTGAACTGAACCAAGAGTTTACAGATCAAGTTCATTTATAGTCCTATTTACATGCACAGCAGCATCTTATGACTTACAGTAACTTCGTGACGCGCTGAAGTTTTCACACAAAGGAGTTTCCCTCCTGTCTTTAAAAACATGCTGCCAAGCTTTCTGAAGCTGACAAGATGTACTTCTCATAGCAGTAATGCAGATATTGAGAAATGCTGTGCTACAGGCCTTTCTTAATGAGGTTCTATGTTTAAAAAACATCCAGCCATTACAGCTTTTACATCATGTTTGTTTTGGTGTCATAAAGCTGTCATCATCTGTGTCTTTTTGCAGAAAGTGCCCAAGTTTTGCCAAAACTGTGTGTGAGCGTCAGTGCAGCAATATAAGTGTTTAGGAGGAGTGCACAATAGCCTTAGGATGGTAAACAAGTATATTGGATGTCGCAATAATGTAAATAAGTCGTCCTTCCATGTGCCACAGTGTATTTTATAAGCTTCACCTTTGTACAGTCATTCTAATCTATGGTTAACCCAAAAATGAATACAATAGAATAGCGCTTAATTAAAGGCGATAAAAATTGAACATCAACTAATGAACTCCACCTGTACAGTACTGTGCGAAAGTTTTACACACCTGAGAAAGTTTTATTTTAAAAGCTACATAATGAGGCAGTAAGTCTTCACTGTCTTACAAAAAAAGTGAAACAAAACGGAAAAAAGGGCTGCCAGACAAAACCCATAAATTAATAGTAAAAGTATGTTTTCTCAATGATGGTAAAAATCTGTAAAATTATAGTCATTTAATTTCTTAGAAATGCTTTAAATTGTTTATTATTTTTTTTATTTTATTATTTTTTTCTTTCATTTTTAGAGATACTGTAATTCTAACAAACAGTATTTTACCATCATAATAATAGTAACAGCTGTTAAAATAAGGAAAAATGGCTATAAATAAATAAAGGTGATCATTTGTTTTTGTGAATTTACATTCTATTTCTGTAAATTAACAACAGCAGTGTTAAAATTCAGTATATATGGTTTATTTACATACATTACAAAAATGGATATTGACCATTAACTTTATAGTACTTTACACTTTGACTGTGAAAATACTTTTTTACAGTGTTTGCTTAGAAAAACAATAATTAGATTAAATAGATAATTAGATTATATACAGATAGCATTAATAAACATAAAGTGTTCGTTTAACCATTTCCAAACCTGTCCTCGAGGAAGTATTTTTGTAGTTCCCATCCAGTACCTCTTTTAGCAAATCAGTGCCTCTTCTTTAGTAAAATGTGTGCTTATGATAAAAAAAAAAAAAGGTGATGGCTGGAGGCGTTTTAGTCTGCTAAAAATGCTGAGGAACATGCATCTGCATATCTGCTCTGCGTATCTGTTCTGCTCTGATGTAAAATGGATGAGCTTGTCCAGAAGAAAGGTGTCAATGCACTGCTATTTTCTTTTCCAACTGGAGAACCACTGGATGTTAACAGTCCATGCAGACTATAGTTACTATTATAAATTATTAAAGCTGCACTATGTAAGATTTATTTGCTAAAACTGAAAGAATCATAACTAAGTGAGGAGAATATAAACAGGCTAAAATATAGTGAGTGTGTGCTACTGTGAGTCACCTTGTAAACCCTGAAATAATCATTTAAAAGTCAGAGGCATTGAGTTTTTCACACCATCTTCTACATATTAACATCACACACACACAGGCTCAAACAGAAGGTCCCGCTCGATGGTTAGGTCTCAAGTGCAAGATCAACTTTATATTGATGAGGATGTGATGACAGTAGTAAATAATTCACTCACATCCTCACAAGACGTGTCATTCGCCAAGTTTTAACTGATTTCTTTTTAAATTCTCTTTCAATCATCACATTCATCCATTTGGAGAGGGAGTCAGAAGCACAACCCATGTTACAAAATGTTGTTCCATGTTGTACGCAATTACACATTTCCACCAGAGAGGTCTCCAAAACTTAGTGTAGCTTTAAGTAATAATTGCAGGTGGCACAGTTGGTAATCCTTTGGTAATGATTATTTGGAAAATCCAGGCTATGTGAGAAGACTATATAATGCTCATATGTGGTGCTTAGGAACCAAATTTGACATCACAAAAACAATTGAAAGTAGGAACAGGTGATAATGTTCTTATTCTTATTATTAATTCTTAATAATTGTTTGCCTAATTTATTCATTATCATCCGAGCTTAATGCACACATTGGAATACTGATATACATATGGGTATGGAAATCATATTGACATTGTCAGATATCTGTTTGAAAAAAATGCTATTTAATTATATATTTATTGTACTCCAGAAGAGCAGGAAGTTTATGCAGTGAGCACTAAAATAAAAATAAAATAACTATATTTTATTCATTGAACTGCATTTGTAATTCTCTACAAGTATATTGCTGCCATCGGAACAAAACCTCATATCTCCAAAATGATAACTTTACAGGAGAAGGAAAAACATACTCTACTTTTAATGTAAGTCAATGGAACCAGACTTTTTTCCAAGTACTTTTGGGTTGTTTCTTTTGGTCCATTCATCATGAAAACGACAAATATGGAGATATTTTGTTCTGACAGCAACTATATGTTCATATTTTGTTCTACTGTATGCTGATATATGAATATATGTACATATATATATATATATATATATATATATATATATATACACACATATATCAACATGTTGACAGATATGTACTTATGCACTTATTGCATTGTCCAGGTTTTCATAGAAGTGTGGTCTGTTATGTAAAATTCCTGGATAATTAAGAAAACGTAGGTCGGAGATGCAGCAGATGGTTTTCGCCGAAACAACGACCATTGATCCTTTTCATTGAAAGTCAGAAACAGATTCTGGAGTGAAACTGATTTAGAATCCATTTGCTTGTTTTGTGCTAAGCATCTGCAGTAATGGCAATTTTGGCAAGACAATGCTTGAGCAAGCGTGCGATTGAGAAATTTCGTACAGCAGCATGAAAACTCGCCATATGCTTATCATTACCCGGATCTTCTACCTGAGACAGCGTATCTAGTGTGTGAAGGGCGTAAATGAGGCGTTCGTGAGATAATGTTTCTGAAATGGTTTGTTTTTCAGGCATGACGATTCCTGAAGAGGACACAGAAGCCGGTCAAACCAGCAAATACTGCCTGGTGGCAATTGGGCGACTGCAGGTATGTACAGACACAGTGTACACTGATCAGCGAAGGGACACTAGGGCTGCAACAAATATTCGATAGTGTTTGATAAATTTGATGACTAAAATATTAAATAAAAGGAAAAGTCATTTGTATAACTGACCATTTATCACATTTATAAACCTATGCACTTCTGTGGGGGAACGATCATTTGTTTATCAGGCTGAATGATGATGATAATAATAATCATAATACAACAAAGAGATTTTTTTTCTTATGTGGTTATGAAAGTGAAACATCTTTTATTTTCATCATAGATTATTCATTTATTCAAGAATATTTAGTAGTTGCTGCCCTAAGAGTCACCTTCCCCTCTTTTCTAATTTGCTGTTACTTTTCAGTTAAATATAAGATATATCTGCAAAATGTCTGCAAAATTTTGTTAGCAGAAAACATTTCCTAATACTTTTCCCATATGGCTGTTCGTTTTTAATGAATTAATCCCGTAAATTCTCAGACTTATTGCATCCTAGGGATTATTATTCAGTAACTATGTGGAAGTCGTTGTGAACTGCCTGAGTTATTCTGGAGTGAGGAGTGGAAGTCCAGACCCACCGGCAGCCCTTGGACCTTTAAGGGGTTAAGAAAATACTTTAGGTTTAGTGGTCTAGTGGTTTAGAGGTTAGTGATCATAAAGCAGCTCTGTTCTAATGCTTTGGGTATATTTAGCTTCAGCACTCAGCTTCACATTCATCAAAGCATCTTCCTTGGTGTAAGGAGCTGGTTTTGCCTAAAGAATAATTTGATGCTTTTCTTTTTCAAACTACTTTTAAAAGCACATATTAAACTTTTGGTCCAAGTAGGGGTGGGCGATATGACAGAAATATCTCGATACTTAAAGATACACATCAGATATGCATCAAAATATTTCACTTTTAAGTTGGAACAGAATACAAAATAGACCAAATAGAATATGTAGTGCTGCATATAAAAGTGCTATAATAATAATACTAATAATAACAATAATCATTGTTACATTAATAATAATAAACCTTAAACTGCAATGATTTTTATTCTGTGTTTTACAAACTGCTCTGCACTAAATCCAACAGGCCTAATTATGCTTACTTTGTAATGAAACATATAGTTAGTCAATGTCCTTTAAGTACTGACAATATATACAATATGCTCAGGAAAGCATACTGTGACATCATATTTCATGATAATGATAAAATATCATCATATTGCCCACCCTTAGTCCAAAGGTGGTTTAATCACCTGAAAGGTTTAAGTGCTGACGTCACAGCAAGGGGAGAAAATGAGAGGCTCTTCCCAAGCTAGCACTGTCACTAATATTTACATGTGTGATATTATTCTCCTCTACATAAAACTGCTTAGGCTTGAATAAGCTAAATAAACAAACCAACAAAGAAAACATGATCATTTCAATTTACATTTTAAAAAGCTAGATATCAGCCTGATCCTTTTCACTGTTGCCATAAAATGCCATTTACACCTATTTTGAAGCTCCTTCAATTGAACTGAGGCTATGTTCACACAGCAGGTAAAAGTGGCCCAAATCTGATTTTCTAGCCAAATTCATTTCATTTGTTTGGCTGTTCAAAATATGTTTTAAATGTGACCCATATGTGACACTAGTCTGACCTGCATGCACAAAAGAGCAGTGCTTCATGTTGCTTCACGTGGCTCATCCAGAGGTAAATAATCATGACTGCCAACGAACGCCAGTCGCTCCCGGAGTTTTCAGTTTCATCTTCACCGGCATCACAGGAGCCATCATGAAGCTTCCTTGACTGACAGCTGGGCTCATCACCCAGAATGTGTTCGAGCTCACCGTAAAAAGGGCACGTTATTCAGCCACGGTCACCTCTTTGGTTCACATCCTCAGATTCTTACATTTTTTTTCCCTGGAAATTTGTATGATTTACAAAACCAGAACTGAACTGGATTTTTTGTAGGTGAGCAAGTCAACATTTCTAAAATTGTTTTATTGCGTCAGCTGTTCAGGATTGTTTGACATAAAGTAAGCTGCTGCTTTATCTCAGCACGGCTGTTTTTGTGTCCTAATTCATATGATAATGGAGTTACAGGCACAATATGTTATTTCATTATATTAATCAAAAATATATTGAGTCCATGTCCAGTCTGCTACCGAAATGGCCACTAGGGGGCCTGCAGAAAGAGGCTGAAAACAAGATTAGAAACTGAAAGATTGTCCCACACTGACCTGCACACAGACTGCCACAGAAATGACCCGGTTGTCATTACATCTGATTCATATTTTCCTCTCCCCCCAAAAAAAGCACTTACATTTTATCCCTGGATGGTGCTTTCCAATATTTGTCAAAGTGCATTTGGTTCAGCACTGGAAAATTCCCAGATAATTAAGAAAAGGTATACTAGAGATGAAGCAGATGGTTTCCAACGAAACAATAAACATCAATGCTTTTGTTTGCAAGTCAAAAACAGATTTATGAATGAATCTGATTTAGAATCCATTTGCCTGTATTGAGTAGCCTTTAATATGTCATGTTTTTGCAAACTGACAAAGAAAACAGGGACTTTTGTTAAAATATTTTGAAAAGCTACATGTCAGCCTAATCAGAGCAAGATTAGGTGTCCCCTTTTGAAGGACGGTGCAAGGCGGGTGGTGTGGTGGAAGTTGTGCAAGACCTCAGAAAAGCATGCAAGATGGCAAAAAAGACATGATGGACTGTTGGGGTCACATGCCTCTGTCTCTGTGTATGAGAGAGAGAATCCGTCCTCACAAATTAAGCTAATGAATGAACATGGACTGGACCGTCTCCTTTCACCCCTTCATCTCTTTAGCTTCAGCCATTTCCACTGGACCAGTTATGATTAACCCCAGTCAGTGTAAATGACGCATAGGTTTCTCATATTCAGATTCACACTGGAAACAGTATTTTTGGTGGTATTGACAAGTGGGGGTGCTGAGGGGGCTGCATTGTTCCTAGATTTTGGGATTGTTTAATTGCAACTGCTAACAGTTATTTAAAACTAATAATCTGTGCATAGTGAAGACTGTGATTTTGTTTTTGGGTGTAGTTTGTATTTTTATTTGATGTTTTGTTCATATGTTTTCAAAATTTTAGTAGCATGTGCTGTTTAAGCTAACACACAAATAATTTCCATTATTTTACCAGCAATGTGTTCGGCTCATTTGCGTAAAGTTTGTCAATTGTTGTTATTTATTACATTATAGCATGTGTTGCTGTGTATGCACGTGTTCTAGTTAATGTAAATTATCCGAAAAAGGAAAATATAATATTATATAATATTTCATGACATGAATTGTGAAAATTTGTGAAAATCACATACAATTTTTTTTTTAATGTTCTCTTATTCTTTATTTGAAGAAAAGAACCTCAGTAGTCGATCTCTGAAACTGCAAGCTTATTATTATTATAAACCTCGTTTATTAGGCTTTACATTTTAACATGTGGCTGCTAATTATTTGATAATTACTAATATCTGTTTTGATAGAATTGAATTGCGAACCCAAATTCAGGCCCTTTATATCGCTGTTATCAGAGCAAAACCTCGTATTTCCAAATTGGTAACTTTACAGTAGAAGAAAAAAACATACTTTACTTTTAAAGTAAGTCAGTGGAACCAGAATTTTTTCCATGTAATTCTGGGCCATTTTTTGGGCCATTCATCATGAAATATTAACATAATGTAAAGGGTAACAGGCACATTCAAATTATGTCAAAAACTGAAAAATATGGAGAGATATGAATGGAGATACAGGGTTTTATACCAACAACAGTGATATATTGAAATTTTTTTTAAAACCATGTGAAGTTAAGAAGCATTTTTGGTCTCTCTCTCAGGTGACCAGCTCTCCAGTTTCAATGGACATGAACGGGCTCTCCGTTCCGACAGAATTCCTGTCCCGCCACAACTCGGACGGCATCATCACCTTTGTGGACCCCCGCTGCATCAACGTGATTGGCTACCAACCCCAGGTGGGCTGACCTCATTACTGCACTGCACAAAGCACATGAAGCCTTAAAGCGGTAGTTATGTAACGTAGAATAATAACAAAAATTGAAAGAATAATAACCCTCCTTACTGCAGATGTAGTCGATCCGCCAAGACATTTTTGGTATCTTTTCCTTCTTCAGTTTTAACACTGAATCTGAGGCTAATGCAGCTAACAAGTAATACAAGCTTATGCCCCACCAGTTAGCATTGTGCAAACTGATGCCACAAACCATGTTGAGTTGTTATGTAATCTGTGATAGACTTACTAATGTGGTTATTGACACCGTATAACACAATTATCTTCAGACGTATGCAAAAGTTTACACACCCCTTATCACATTACATGTGTTGTTGATTTTCTGAGTGTAAGTAAGTGAACACATCCTTGACAGAGAACACACTTCTGCACATTTTAATCTACAGTATTATGTTTTATTTTTACCCCAAAAAATAAATGAACAGTAACCAGGGTCACCAAAATGTTTGCATATGACTCTACAAACAAGTACAAAAAAGTATGTCGTATGGCTACCAGCTGTCATGAAGCCTGAATTTTGGCCGTCCTTTTACCCATTTTCATAAATAACAGCGTGTCTTACAGGATGCTCAATGCTAAATGCTGATGTATAAGCTTTCATTATTGGCTGGTAAATTTGTAAATTTCCAGGCAGAGGCTGATAACCTCCTGGCCGTGCGCTTGATTGGAACACAGAGCTCCATTGCCTAGAGTGTGCTCTAATTTAGGAAATGTTTTGACTTCCTTTCAAAATCTAGTTCATCAGTTAATGAACTGTATCGTGGCTCAGGCGTTTTGTATTACTTTCTGTCAAACAGTTTTAATGAAATGCACTCTGGTTAAAAACTGTAGCAAATGTCATCTTGATCTTTTGGGCATCAGATCCGCTCTGACCTTCAGGATATTGCATTATTCTTGTGCCAGAGTCTACTTTTACTTGCAGATGACTTTAATATTTTTCTCAGGCTAATAGCTGATATATTAACAGTTAGCCTCCAAGAAAAAGCTTTGATAACAGTGCTCAAAGCCTCTAAGATGTCCAAATAAACAGTTGTTATAAACCTAGTATATGTCTAAAAAATGTACAGGCACGCTTTTTGAATATGTTATATTAAGAATTATACTTACTTTTACAGTTGAGTGCAAAAGTTTGGCCTGGTCAAATGACATCTTGTTGATTTTCTGAGGGAAAAAGATGTCCTCCACAGTGAACACACCTCTGCACATTTTAATTCACAATCACTGTTTATTTACTGAATTTAACATAAATAAAACATAAACCGTGGCCTGTGCAAAAGTTATAGCACATTCAATATTTTGTTGTATTTTTTTTAATATGTAAACATAGCAGATATTATGCATTAGATAGTATGTTCTCTGTAGAGGATGTGTTCATTCATTTTCATTTAGAAGTTCAACAAAAGTTGTCATTTGACCAAGGATGTTCAAACCTTTGGATAAAACTTTGTGCTTATGTTTATACTTTTCATATTGATGTCTCAGGTTTAACTACAGAAAGCTGCAAATATTTCATTCTGTGTAAAACTTTTTATCCAATTCATTTTCTTCTTTTTACGAAAAGTTAAAACACGTTTAAGCTGAATACAGTCAGTTTCCTGCAAAAATTATTGTGTATATTTAGTGGTTATATCTGGAAAACCAGCATCTCAGTAATGTGTTTGTTTTCAAATGCTGTGCTTGTCTTACTTGTTTCTATTGTATTACTGTCCACCACCTGCATTATGCTGCTCCTAACTGCCTGAAGACATTCAGTCCCCTGCCAGTCTCTCCATATGGTTTACTGTATGATTTACGGCTTGTGTGGTTTCCTGTAGGACCTGCTTGGTAAAGACATTCTGGAGTTCTGCCATCCTGAGGATCAGAGCCACCTGAGAGAAAGCTTCCAGCAGGTACAGAAGGAGCTTCCCACTCACACACTTCCTCAGATGTGAAACATCTCATTAGCGTGGCTTTTAACTCACACTCACATTTAGCAGATGGAAAATTCTCCACAAGGGGAGCTGTTCGTACTTGAGTCATCATTGAAAGGGAGGAAACTGACATAAACCTCCATATCAGCATCATCTCACGATGCACAGTCTGTAATTTTGGAAGCATGAATCACACTGTATATAAGTACACAAATGTAGGGTGCGTTTGCTGTTGCTTTTTACTGATCTTGCACACTTTCACTCAGTGTTGTGGAAATGACCACAGGCAGAAAAGTGTCAGGGCAACTACGGAAGAATGGAGTCAGACTGTGTGTTCTTCTTAAAAGGCCACAAAACCTTTTCATGGTGTTGCTGGCTATTGCAAAACTGCTCACACAGTCTGAAATTTCTTAATACAGCATCAGATTTTGCATCATAGCACCCTTGCTACAAATACCTACAATACCAGTGTGTTTGGAGACCTTTTTTACTTTTGAGTCTCGGTTCCTCTCAGTGAATGCAGTTAAGTGAACTTAATAATGTGATCATAATCAGATTTCTGCAGTTATGTGATTATTCAAATGCTTATACTTCAATTTCTTAGATTAGAGTAAGGTCTAGAAATCTGATTAAGAAATACGAATAAGAGAGCTGGATTTTAGCTCACTGGTCAGATTTCTCAAAGCATGTAAACTCTTACTCTGATTTCTTTCGTATTTTTCTGTGCATGTGCGGAAACAGACTGCGGTACCAGAAATAAGCAAGCAGCGTTTAACAGAACACCCACAAGATGACAACAAGACACTTTTAAAGCAACGATGAAACCAAATGCATGCTTTTAAATATTCATCTTCTAGATGATGTACATTTATATACTCAAGTAAAGTGGTGCGATATTTAAAAAAAAGCCTCGGCATGAAGTTTAAGTTTTACATGACATTCATGTCACACCTTTCCTTTGCCTTTACCGGCTGGTTGCAAAGCAGAAATCTGATTACTGCCTGACTCATCTAGACCCAGAGTTTGCCCATTATCTGATTACTCAAATGCATGTAAACACGTTGAACAGATTACTGACACTTGACAACAAGAATGGCACAACTGCTGTCAGTGCTGTCATCCTGAGTTTGATCCCTGGTGATGCCACACCCGTCCGTGGCACCTAGGATATCGTAACAACAGTCTAGCATCATCTTAGCAACCACCTGGGACACTAAAGCAATGGCCTAGCAACACCTTAGCAATCACCTGGGATACCATAGCAATAGCCTAATGACACCTTAACACGCATGAGGGATACCATAACAACACCTTCGCAACACCTTAGCAACCACCTGGAATACCATAGCAAAGGCATACCAACACCTTAGCAACCACCTGGAATACCATAGCAATGGCATACCAACACCTCAGCAACTACCTGGAATACCATAGCAATGGCCTAGCAGCACCTTAACAATCACCTGGGAAACCATAGCAATGGCTTAGTGATACCTTAGCAACCACCTGGGATGCCATAACAAAACCTTCACGACACCTTAGCAACCACCTGGAATACCGTAGCAGCAGCCTAGCAACACCTTTGCAACCACCTGGGATACCATAACAACACCTTTGCAACCTTAGCAACCACCTGGAATACCATAGCAACAGCCCAGCAACACCTTAGCAATTACTTGGAATACCATAGCAAACACCTAGCATGCACCTAGGATATTATAGCAACGGTCTAACAACACCTTAGCAACCACCTGGGATAGCAGAGCTGTCTTTGTCAAGCCAACTTAAAGTTTGTTAAGGAACTTTTCCCCTCTAGATGGTTTTGCTCTGCATGTAAAATAACCTAAAATCAAATCAAAGCAAAGCAGCTTTCCATACTTGATTTAACCGTTCACTGTGGTTATTTTCCACACAGCTACCTGAATAAGAGGACTCTCTTACTGGCACAGGCCTCGATGGGTTCAGTGCATTTCTACTGATACCAGTATTTAGATATCCACTGTCAGTTGAGTTGTTCTCAAAAACCATGAAAGCCGCAGCCCCCATCCCTCCTCCCCTTGCATCTGATCTCTCTCCGCTGGAGTACATCAGGTAGCAGTGGACTTGGCTTCTGCACTGTCGTCTGTGTAGCTGAAGCTCATTAGTGTCTGAAAGAGGGAGTGAACAGCAGCAGTGAGATGCAGATCAATAAGTGTGAGAGGCTCATGGCCAGCTAACTTTGGGGGATCAGCATGTGGCGAGTGCGAAACGCCGCTTTGTCGTTATGGAAGCCCGGTCTGATCGTGATTGAAAACAAAGAAACTCCCGGTTCTTCTTTCTTTTTTATATCTCCCTTGTTATCTCTCTTCCTTTCTCTCTCTCTAGGTGCTAATTAAACCTTCAAGCTTTGTCACACTTCTGTTTTTTTCTGTCAATTTTGCTTTAGTCCCTCTATCTTTATTAATTCTTTGGCTTCTCCTTTTTGCCTCTCTCTTTCTGTCTTACTGTGTAGGGGATGTCTCTCTCTAGTTTTTCCGCTTCTCCTCTCGGATTTGCACTGATCCCTGCTCACAGATTTGATGTTCAGATCTCATATTTGCATTCATCCTCCGTCATGGTGAGGCGACTGCGATTTTCACGATTTGATCAGGGCAGTTTTCTGCCCTCTAGTATAATAGGAACATGCCCTGTCCTATACATGCTCAAGCCCCTTGCTTAGCAAGGCATCCACGAGTAAGATACAGAGAGATTTGTGCAGCCGTTCTATCTTTTTTATCCTCCCCGGTGCTTGCCTGTTGACTACTGATAAAGACCTTTATGGCTGATGTCCAGAAATGCCTTGTGATGAGTGAACCGCTTCGAAACGTGAGACTACACATGCACACTTGCCTTCGCTAGGCACGTACACCTGCTCCAGTCCCTGTACCTGCTGCATGACACCAACTAACACATGAGCAGACAATTAATGAAGATGAGATGACATGTTTTTCTTGGCTCGGAGTTTGACGCCAAGTCCCAGCATCTCTTACAGTAGATGTCATCCTCTTTCGACAGGACGGCCATAAATCATTTGAAGATCTCCACTGGAAGCCCTCAGCAGCTCCTCGCTGATTGGCCCTGTTACAGAAAGGTTATTAAGGGAGCCACTCTTTCATTCTCAGCAGAAAAAGAAAGGATTACAGAGATAAAGATCGAGGACCTTGAACTCCATCAAAACTTCAATGTTCCCTTAATTTTCAAGAGCGCTCTTCCAATTCTGTTTGATCTGTTTTTGGAGGGAAGCGAGGCTGCTTCTTTCTCTCGGATATGGCCAGCCTTTAGGGATGCACATTTTACCAGTTTTTGCTGTTCCAATATCAAAGTTTTTTGACCAGCAGCATTTGTTAGGGGTGTGCACAGGTACTTAAGTCCTTGGTTAGGTAACATTTGAGGTGCCAGTATTCAAATAATGAAATCACTGTTCCTCTATTCGTTGTGTTCTCTCGCGGGAAAACAGAGTAAATATGCAGACCAACAGTTCAGCGACATACCAATTTAATGTTTGAATAGCATGTGAAAGTTTTACCTGTTTTTGAGAGTTGGTGTGTCGGGTTATACTTTGCTTTTGCGAAACTTGAGGTAACACAGGCGTGCTTCCAAGGACATGTTGTTGACTGAAGCAGACATGTGACGGCGTTTTTTGCTAAATAGACTAGACTGATGTTAACATCAGGTCCAAAAACAGTTGGCACTTTGGATATTGTCCAACAAAAAGGAGAAAAACACCTGTAGAAGACCAAGAGTCTCCATCAGCATCCCATGTTAGCTGTAATTTTAGTTAATTAGCACATCTGGGGCTCTGTTAGCGTGCCCAGTTCTGTTCCTGGAGATCTTCCATTCTGGAGAAGTCAGATCCAGCACATTCAGATGCCCCTGAAAAAAACAGTTGGCTCATTAGATATTGACCACTAAAAAGGAGAAAAACACCTGTAGAAGACCATGAGTCTCCATCAGCATCCCATGTTAGCTGTAATTTTAGCTCATTAGCTCTTTAGCTCTACTCTACTAGCTCTGTTAGCATACTCCAGGGACGCCCAATTCTGGTTTGGATCCAAATACTTGTGGCCTTCGTTACCTGGATCAGGTACTTTAGATTAGGGTTGGAGTTGCAGGGTGGTAGATCTTCAGGACCAGGATTGAGCACCCCTCCCAATTTCTCTCAGCTGTTTTTGAATAATAAAACTTGTTTTGAAATACATTCTGTGTGATGAGCCCTGCGATGGACTGGCAGCCTGTCCAGGGTGTATCTTGCCTTCCGCCCAATGACAGCTGGGATAGGCTCCAGCATCCCACCGTGACCCTGAACGATAAGCTGTTTAGATGATGTGTGTGTGTCTGTGTGATGACACATTTTTGTGCCGTTACCTAAACCACAGCTCTAATTTCCTTTCAGCCGAAATACATTTTTTCCTTTTTTGGTGTTGTTTTATTCCTTCCTTGAGGATGTCTATTCGCAAACCCCTTCACATATTTCGTTTGTTTGGCTTCGGAAATGGACATCCTCTACTTCATTGGGGTTTCAGGTCGCTTTTACAGATCAGATTGCATATCCGGAGCTTCATATTCGAAGTATGTTCAGGGATACGCTAGCTGATAAAAAACGGCAGTAATGACAGGTGGTGAATGATTGCTAAGCAGTGATTGGTGGAGGAAATGAAGTGGATGTTCAGGAATGACATGGAGAGCGTTAGGATTATGATCAACCGTAACGCAAAGACAAGGTTGAGATTAGTTCATTTTTTGGCTGTGTCGCTACTAAAGTTCCCACCGTGAGTCAAGATAGCTGTTTAGATTTTGGCATGATTGCTCACCGGGGCCCCCTAGTGGCTCGGGCCACTGGGCACGCACCCATGAAACTCATCATGCCTCATTTGCATTGGATATGGATTTTTATTTATTAACTTATTAGCAGTATTTGTGACATTTGTCATATCGGTCCAGTAAATTGAAATCTATATGTTGGAATAATCATGCCCATTCCTGCATCCTTTCCTGGGAAAAGAACTCCCCATGACAAAAAAAAAGATGTCCTCTTTTTCGCCAGGAATAACACTTAATTTCCCTCTCTCCTGTCTATGGATGGTGAACACTGCGCTTTTTCCACATTTTCACAGGCCCTTTTTCCCCCGAGGTGTGGTGCCCTGTTCAGTTTGTGTAAGGAAGCCATTCATTGAGATATAGACGAGCTTTGTTTTGATGAAGAGAAGCTGGTTCTCTCTTTCTCCCTCGTTCTTCTGTGGATGGAAAATCACTTCCATCCTCTTTTTATTTTAAGCGATTTTGGGGGCTCAGATGGGAAACATAAGCCATTTGATTGACAGTTGAGGTTTCAGTATGGAAAGAATGCAGATGTTAAATAGTCTGTAAACTTAAATGCAGGCTCTTGGCTCGGTTAGCTGGGCTAGTTATTTTAGTTTATTGTAGGGTCACCGAAGAGGGTCACACAATATAGAGCAAGGAAATAAAAACAGATTTTACGTAAGAGTGAGATGAAGCCAGATTGTGGTCATTACATTCAGGGCCATTTCTTGCTATAAGCTATATAAGCAGTTGTTTATTTGCCCAGAGCTATAAGGTGAAATGTGTGGTAATTAAACACACATTGTACAGAATTTTTGTTTGTCTTTATTTTGTTTATCAGTTACTTTATTTACACATCCAATATAGTAGTGTAAAGGTTCTGTTTCCCTAGGCAACATGGGGCTGCCCTGTTGCAGCTCCACAGCAGAGTCAGATATTTAGGTAAAAATAAAATAATCCTCCTTTGCAGGAAAATAAACCTCTGCTGACAGTTTTAATAATAAACAGTCTTAAACTCTGGGGTTAATGTAGAACTGCTAATTCACCCTTTAACCCTGAAGCTTGGTGTGCATATTGCTGGTCACCATAGCAACATAGACAACAGTCTTGCCTAGCCAGTAGCGAACAAAAAGGCAAAGAGAGAGATTTAAGACGAACATTGATAATTTGGAGACAAATTCGCCAGCTTCTTGTTCGAATTTTCCCGTTACACCTTAAATGATGCCTGAGAGCCAGAATGTAACTGCTGCACCATTTAAGGCTAAACGGGAAAATTCAAACAAGAGGCTCGTGAATGAGAAGCTGACTTCAACCTCGTAAAAAAATTAAACATTGAGAGACGTTTTACAAGAAACTGTTCCACTTTTGAGGAAAAGTTTCCTGCCGGAGATGTGAGAAAAGCGGCTATAGCTGAGCCAAAGCTTAAAGCCGAGCAAAGTAAGTCTGTGTTTTCGTTTATATTAGATTTGTTAGCCTATATCAGCACATTAGCACATGCTGTAACGTGCCAGAAGGATTCAGATGTTCGCGGTTAAAGATCCAAACCTGTGGATACAGAATGTAGATCAGCCAAATATAACCCATTATGTAACTAGCAGTGTAATCATGAAATAAGTAATTATGTGGAAAAGTGACATAATGGTTCTAGATATCTAAGCGTTAACTGCTGTATGTTGTGTGGGTCCTCAGGTGGTGAAGCTGAAGGGTCAGGTGCTGTCAGTGATGTATCGCTTCCGGATGAAGAACCGAGAATGGATGTTGATCAGAACCAGCAGCTTTACCTTCCAGAACCCGTACTCAGACGAGATCGAGTACATCATCTGCACCAACACCAACGTCAAGTACGCAAAACTGCTTTCTTTTTCCTCTACAAATTCACTCTTCTGCTCTCTCTCTCCCTCTCTCTCTCTCTCTCTCTCTCTCTCTATCTCTTCGTCTCTCTGTCTTTCTCTCTCACTCTCATTCTGTCTCATTCTATCTCATGCACTCTTTTCTCGATCTCGTTTTCTGTCATATTCTTTCTCTTCAGTCTGTCTCTGTCCTCTGTCATTCTTTTAATCTAATTCTCTCACAGGCTCCCCACTCTCTCGCTCTCTTCAATATTGCTCTCTCTCTGTCCCTCATTCTGCATTCTGTCTCATTCTATCTTGCAAGCTCTTTTCTCTTTCTCATATTCTCTCTCACTTTATCTCATTCTGTCTCTCTCTTCCTCTCTTTCTGTTTCTCTCTCTCTCTCTCTCTCTCTCTCTCTCTCTCTCTCTCTCTCTCTCTCTCTCTCTCTTCACTCTCTCTCTCCTGTGTGGAGTACTCTTGATTACCCTGCAGATTTGCTCTAATGTCTTCCCTCCATGTTTCCTTGTTTTGAAACTGTATCTTCTGATCTAAATAATGCAGCCGTTTCACGCTGTGACTTTCTACAAACATCTTCATCCTGCATGACCGTTATTTCTGGAAGCTCACTGTAATTAACGCCAGTGGACTGTAGCTGGAGAAAACAGCAGCCCAGTGCGCTCTGCATGCAGGAGCTGAGGCCTCAGAGTGGAAGTGGCTGCATAATGTTCAATAATATTTATCTGAGCTTGGCTGAGGTGTTGCTAGCTGAGAGGAAAGAGTGGGATAAATGCTCTCCCTCATTTCCCCTCTAGCCGGGCCATTCGGGGCAGACCGTGTTTGTTTTGGTCCCTCTGGAGCCTCTCTGGATGGGTGCGGCAGTAGCTGCATGATATGGACAAAAATGTGATCTGCAGTAAAGCTGTTGGATATTGCAATGGCATGTGAAATACAATGAATCACATGATGACAACTGATTAGTGGTGCCAAAAAATCTAATTTTATCAGTGGGCTGGCTGGCTGTTTGGTTGATTCCCTTCCTAATGATGTTGACAGTTAATCTAATGTGTAAGGCCTTCAGTTCAGCTCTTGATGTCCTAACCAATTGAAGAGCTCACTTAACTACATCTACCTAGATACCATGGAGAAGACTTTTGGACTTTTTAAAGATTTTAACCCTTCTGAAATTAGATAACTACAGCATCAGCACAAAAAGCATGATGAATCAATTCTCTCAAGGCCTTAAAGGCCCTGATGGTTTCCCTTTAAGATAACAGTGTGTCATACAGTGTCAGAAACCAGATAAGCAAGTCTATTTGAGATTAATCACTCAGTTTGGTTTGAGTAGTTAGACATTGTTTTTAGAGAATTTTTGTAAATTGAGCTGGACTTTTATTTCTTTTATAAATTTTGGCTGCTCTGTTATCACAGGCCTTTGTGATATGCTTCCCACATGGGCGATAAAAACATGTATAGCCCCAGATCTTTACTGCAAAAAAATATACAGCAGTAGAGTGGATGTGTCCCATTCAGAGTGTTCTTGTGACCCACTTCCCCACTACACTCACTCACTGCCTTCCCCAGAGAACACTTTATATAACCCATGGTTCATTTTAGCTATAGGGGTGTGTGCGCATGTGCTCCCTGGAATTCCTGAGAGTGTATCTACAAATGCTCCAAATTTGATGCCTAACATCCCAAAAACATATAGACAGGTATATGTTTACTACCATGTTATATCACCTCTCCTTTTAACAGCACTTCAGTTAATCCAGTTTTGAAAATGGAATTTTGTCATATTGACACTAATCTTAATGATGCCTCGGAGGACACAGCGTATATTATTTCCATAAACAGTCTAAAAGGTTGACTCATCAGAGCACAGTGCACGTTTCCACTGCACATCAGTGCATTTCAGAAGCATCACAGAAGCAGGTTGGTTTTTAAAGCAGGCTCATCTGAGGGATCGAAGGTCACTGGCGTTCAGTTTTGATTGCTTATTTGATTGCATGATTCTTTAATTTCTAGTGATACTATGCCTCGTAGAGAGTGATATACCTAAAATCCTTTCAGTGGCTCTTTGAGGAACGTGTCTTAAACTGATTAGCTTTGACCCATTTTTGCTCATAAAGGACTAGGCCTTTTTTAGATGGTCCTTTTATATTCAAGCATGACTTCATCACTTGGTTTTTGAAAAATTTAAAAGTCTTAAATTGCCCCCTCTCCTAACTTTTTTGGAATGTGTTGTAGGCATCAATTTCAGCATAAGCATGTATTTACAAAATCAATAAAGTTAATAACGTAAACCACAAATTATGCTGTTTTTGCACTTAAATGCAGGTTAAAGGGGATTAACAAAAACACTTTCTGTTTCTGTTTACAATTCATTTACTGTCTCAAATTTTTTGGCAGTTTGTGTTATATATGTGCAGTATGCTTGAATTATTGCGAGTTTTTGTGCCTGTTTGTGCTGTGAAATATTTGTATATTCTTTCACTCTCTCTCTCTCTCGTCTATCTGTGTGTGAGGGTCTTGAGGAGGTGTGTACTTCCTTTTCTTTCTTGTTATTCTCTCAGTGGGAGGAGGTCGGTTGAGAGGAAATAGAGGCCCAGCAGTAATGAGGTAGTGCCGGAGAAATTGGATACATGGAGTGAATGTAATCCAGCCAGCAGTGACCATTAGGGCTGTAAAAATTAGGGATGCACAATGATATCAGAAACAAATTGATATTGCTTAAATAATCTTAGTTGATTATGTATTTATTGCACTCTATAAGAGCAGAATGTTTAATGGATGCTCAGCTACTGTGCTAAAATATCTGCTTTTTACACATTTTACCATATTTGTAACCCTTTAAGTGTAAATGTCACATTTTTCTGTAATGCAGGTACATCTTGTCCCACTTCGGCAGGTGTGTGCATGAAAAATATTGGGTATCGGCATCGGCCACAATTCCGGTATCATTGCTTCTTTAGCTGGAACTATGCTTTAGCTTAAATCAAACTACTGTTGAACATGTTGTTGTAAATGCACTTAAGAAGAACTCATCAGCACCGCTGGAGGCTCTCTGCAGTACCCTTAGTGTTTAGGCGAAAAGGAAGCAGTATGAGTAATTGTGACCCAGCCAGGGGTGTCCCATCTTTTCTCAGCCACTTTGCCCCTGTGTTACTGACAGTGATGCGGTCAGCAGAAATGACCCTGCGAGCGGCTCTTTAAAGTCCGACCCTCTCTAATAGTCCCACAGTGTTTCCTCTGAGGCTTCATGAACACCAACAGCAGGTCCAAAATAAACTTCCCCACTTTTTAGAACGTGGAGAGATTTCTGTGTCCTGATGCAGACTCTTGGCTGTAATGAGTTTGTGTCTGTCAGTGTGAAATAAGAGTTTGTGTCCTTTTCAGCTTTTACTTAAACTGTTCTGTTCTGTGCTGTAAGAACAGTTTTTCATAGCAGGACTGTCCCTCATGAGAAACGAGATGTTCTGACCAGAGAGAAACAATTCTAACTTGCAGGGCCAACAGAATGCTCCTGACTTGGTAAAAACATCATGTTTAAATTTTTTATGCAACTGAAAGAGCAACATTATTTCTTTTTGGTTGCTGAAGTTAAGATTAGGGTTCGGTTTATGGTTAACTTTGGGTTCGGTTTATGATTGACTTGAAAATTCTTTTTACATGTAGTTACTTGCATATATAGTACATGTGGGACATTATTACATATAGGTACAGTTACATATAGAGCATATTACACATAGATACTTACATGTGCACATGGGCCATTGTTACATATATGCTTACTTGTACAAAGGGGACATATTACATATAGTTACATGTATAATATATAGGCACATATTGCATATAGATGCTTACATATATAATACATATGGAACACATTATTGCATAAAGATACATACATGTAAAATATAAAGGGACATATTACATATAGTTACATGTAAAATATATAGGAACAGATTGCATATAGATGCTTACATATATAATACATATGGAACATATTATTACATATAGATACATGTATAATATGCATGGGGTGTTACGTATAGTTTCTTGCATTCATAATGTATAGGGATATTACTACGTTTGTATAATACATATGGGACATTATTATTACATGGAAATATTTACATATTGTCACTGTCGTGGTTAAACCTTCTTCATTTTGTTTTATTTATACTTTTGCATAATTTGAAAACTCCATTTACCTTTTGTCTCACGATAAACAGAAATGGTCCAAAGTTAATGGGAATAAAATCGTTTTTCATTTATCTTCCATTCCAAGTTAGGAACATCTTTTTTCTGTGAAGTTAGGTTTTATTCTCATAATACATGTGGGACTTTTTATTTTAGCTACTTTCTCTACGTGTGTTTTGGCTACTTAAATCAGCAGAACACATGACTTTCTTTAAAGGCTGACTGTGAGTGTGGGGTTGTGTATCTAGTGTAGTTTGTTTGTGTCTGTGTGGTTTGATTGACCTTGGAGTGAAGTGGACTGTGTGATGACATTCCTGTTGAGCACTTGCTGCTGGGTTGTGTATTCCACTGTGTTTGTGTTTGTGTGTGTGTGTGTGTCAGTGTGAGTGTCTATGAATATCACAGGGTGAGAGCGCTCCAGTGTTATCCCAGAATCTCAGCAGCAATCCCAAACTTCCGAACCCACACTGAGGTCTGCGGAATGAGAGCATGACTGTCATTCCCTCAGATACACCACACTATACCACCCACCTACTTAAAGCGATAGGTTGGTGAGAAATCAAATTTACAGTTTCCCTCCTTACTCAAAATGGAGTCACTCAGCCGAGGCATGTTTGATGTCTGAAGTTTACTTATTTAGGTTTACACTGGAGTGACGAGGCTAATGCAGCTGACAAGTAATGGAAGCTTATACCCCACCAGTTAGCATTAGCGGTAACTGTATGCCTAAGTCATTACACACTCACCTCAAACCGTGTGGAGTTGGTAAGTAATCTCTAACAGACTCGCTTATGTAGTTTCTGAC